CCTATATGGTATTTTATTTTATACCTATAACCCAATGAATTTAATATTATTATTACATCTTATACATAACAAAAAACAAAGTTTAGAAATATCTGTTGATTTTCCCAAGGTTGTGTAGCTAGTAAGTGAAGAGATCAAACGTCTGACACCAAAGCCACAGCTCAAAAACAGAATGCCTGTCTTGTTTACAGTTACACTTGTACTTGGGTATATAAAAGTGAAGTGTGAATCACCGTCTTTGAAATATAAGAAGGTAAAATATTTTAGGAGATAGAAGGAAGAAAATATAAACACATAGCATCTTTAAATATTGTTAAAACTTTATAAAGTAGTGTATAATACCAAATTGTGTATGCAAGAAAGAGATGCTTTATGTATTTTGAGAAAAAAATTATGTATGTTGAAATGTTCAGGCAAATAGTCATGATGAAAGTGGGACCTGTATTCCACCTTGCAAGCTGGTTAAGATTTTGAAAGACATGAGAAGCAGGAGTCAAGGCAACATTTTAATTGTGTCTCACCTAATTCTTGGAGAATAAAAACACTAGTCTATGTTTGTATCCCAGACATTTCAGGGACTTAAACCAAGTAAGATCTGAAATGACAGAAAAAGTAATTTGAACTTTTATGGCAGTTGTAAGCTGACATTAAGTTTATATAAGGTGCTAGTTGATAAAAAAGTATATTGTCCACAACTGAAATAATTATCTAATATTGATGTCTATTTTAAGAAATGTATAAAATGGTAAATTAGAAGTCCATAATTCTCAAGACCCTGTTTTAAGTTGCTTAGGATTTTGTTGTTATTTTATTTTTTATTACTAACAGAAGCTGTTTTCCAGGGCCATCTATGACTTTAATTTCTTCTTTTGTCTAACTTAAACCCTAAGTACTCATACTTTCCCTAATCACATTGCATTTCTCTTCCACTTACAAAACAAGAAAGACCAGAGCTTCGTGAAGAAACTACTCACACAAAGTGACACTTTGAAGGCAGAAAGGGATGAGTTTTTCATAAGTCACAGGCTAAAATGTTAAACATGGAAGGAAGTCAGTATAAAAACCCTATGGACATACTGGCAGCACTGAGAGTGACTTTCCCCATTTTTTAATTATGAATTTTAGGGTTTTACATTATAATACCTTTAAATAGTTGTAAGTTCTGAACCCTCTGGCCTACACAAATTTGCATAGCTGAATGAATCTCATAGAGCTTAAGTACTTAACCTAAATTTAATCTAGCATTAGAGTGCAATAATTATGTCACAATACCTGTCTTGCAAATGTAAGCAATTTAAAATAATATATCTTTGCATTTTTATATGAAGATTTAATTTCAGCTGAAATAATTGGCTAATATCAATATTACAAATGACATAACCAAACTGTCAAATTGACTGACAATCTGAAAAATAAGTATAGAAGGCAAATTTCAGCTATTAAACTAATAAGCAAGGATCACCACTTGTGGTACAAGGTGTTTTTATTTTAGGACATCTGAATAATAGAGCAACATTAAGTGGGGCAGAAAAGCAACATGAAGTGTGGCAAAATGAATTCATAAAAAATGTATTAACTATTTAAAAAGTTTAAACTATACATGAACACGTAGGGCTGGAATGGTTCATAGAAAAGTAATAATCCAGGTAGCATTATTGTATTAGAGAAACACCCGAACTTTGTGTGATATGAGCAAGATTTTGAACTTGAGCTAAAAAGTGCATCTAACTGAAAAAGAGGGTGTAAATGATCAAAGCAAGGCAGCCTAGACCAGTGATCAAATGAAAAGTAATGTTTATTTAAACATTACAGATGTATCAGGAACTCTGTAAAATGACTTACAGTCCTTATTGCATTCAACAAATTGACCTATGTTATAGAGAAACCCCAAGAATTGTCTTGCCAGTGGTATTACAACATATTAGAAAACTATAGTGTGTTCAGATATCTGACATTTATAAAGTAATTTCTTTGCTGGGTTATATTTATAACATACAACTCATTCACTAACTGGGACAGAAACATTAGCAAAATCCATCTATTTTAAAAGGTTAATATTTTATTTACTAAAGCACCATAAACAATAATGTCCAGAAACATGAGTTTACTTTGTAGTGCCTTATTGCAAAACTAAATGTGGATACTGTTATTTTAATCCAGCCCAGCCGTATATATATAGAAATCTACTAAAGCCATATGAGAAATGTTAAAAAAAAAAAAAGAAAAGAAAAAAAGAAAATACACCAGATTTGTTGCTCAATTATGTTACTCTTAAGTCTTAGGAGCCAATAGAAAATACTACATTACTATTTTAAATTATATTTAATGAATATAATAAGAAAAAGCAAAAAGGTGAGGCAAGATCATTTCTGATGATGATACTGTTATCATGTTAAGGACATGCTAAGCAAATAGTGGTCAGAACAATCAACATTCATGAAATTTTCTTACATTTTATTTTAGGAGTAATTTGCAAATAACAAATAAGCCAAGATGGGGAATTCGTTTTACAAATCCTGAGGATAACCTGGGTTTAACATAAATTTAATCAACACAATACACTTAAGTATTTAATTAACATCTAATGCATTTTTTTTTTTATTTTTGAGATGAAGTGTTGCTTTTGTTCCTCAGGCTGGAGTGCAATGGCACAATCTAGGCTCACTGCAACCTCTGACTCCTGGGTTCAAGTGATTCTCCTGCCTCAGCCTCCTGAGTAGCTGGGATTACAGGTGCTTGCCACCATGCTCAGCTAATTTTTGTATTTTTAGTAGAGATGGCATTTTGCCACGTTGGCCAGGCTGGTCTCGAACTTCTGACCTCAGGTGACCCACCTGCCTCGGCCTCCCAAAGTGCTGCGATTACAGGTTTGAGCCACCGTGCCTGGCCAATCTCTAACGCATTTGTAAATAGTGGGTATTCAGACTGACAAACCTGCCACACTGCAAGTGTTGAATAACTCACAAAAGAGAGAAAATACTTAGATTTATCATACTCTAGTTTCAACATATCATTTATTAAGTTTTGTTCATTCTCCCTACGTCTGGCATTAACATATTCAGTCTAATAAATTTAAAAGTTTTTCACAATGAAAGAGGGAGGATAGTCTATCAACTAACATCAGAATGCTCACATTGAGGGGACAGATCACACTCGTAACTGCCAAAAATATTCACTTTTAAGATATAATTTGACATCTGTAGTATTAATAGTAATAAGAAACTCAACTGCCATTACTTGCTGTCAACTTTATATTTGCAATATACTAAATGTCTCACCTCTTTTTAGATTTTCTTCCCAGGGCAAGTAAGTTTGAGAAACTTGGCTGAAATCACATACTTTTCAAATGGTAAAACTTTGGTTTGTCCACATCGAGTATCTAGTCACTGGGTTCTACTTACAACACACTAGGAAACATGTCGTATTACTATAAGATTAAAATAATTCTTCATTCTGAAATTAACCGTTTATTAGTGAAATTCACCAAATTTTGAAATTGTTTTTCATCTTCCCTATCTCTGCACCTACAAGCTGGCCCCTTTTTCTCTGTTGAAGATGTGGGAAGATAGGATACAGGTGTATTTGCTAGATTTTGGCAGAATCAATTAGTGTCTGCAGCAAATTCACATTTTGCAGCCCCGAAGAATGAAAGATGCAATGCAGGGTGAAGACAGGATAACTGAGAATGTCTTTCTGCTTTGTATCACTTGGCGTGTACAAACACACCAAGGTTAGTTAGTAACTAACCTTGGGCAAAATCTAATGTTTTAAATTTTAAATTTTTAGACCAAAATTTGATACAGGTTTAATATATTTTTGTGTAATTGCTCTCTAGCCTTTTCCCCATCATTTCTCAAAATTACTTATAATTGTCCTATTGCATTTTTATATGTCCAGGAAGGCATGCTAATCAATGGCAATTATTATATTAATAAAAAAGTAATGGATCATTTTATTTGCAAATTGTTTTATAATATTAAAGCATTTTCACTAAAATTATGTTATTCAATTTTCAGAATAATTCTTTGAGATAGAGATAAATTATTATTTCTGTTATTGCATGGGAATAATTGGGACAAGCTACATTATATCAGCCAAAGGGAGGAAGAATAATAATTTTATTTCTTTTTTTTGTCTCTATTGATTTGTTGTCCATAGGTGAAACATCAATAGACTTTGCAAATAACACATGAGCATAAAGCAAATGAAACTGTTTTAAACATTGATGCATAAATGACCCACATAAAAAAAAGATAAATTAATTACCATTCTTGCAAAGTTTATTTTTTAAGAGTGCTTGAACTTGTATTAATTACTATAATATCATGATTTCAATAAATAATGTGAGATTCTTAGGAAAAAGGAACATGTTACAAATCAACGCAAAACAATGGTTTAGCCACAAGGGTTTAACAGCAGCAAGCTTTGTTTTTCTCCCCTCTGGGAGACTTTTCTGAAACATAGATTTTTCAGAAGCTCTGAGAACAAAGCTTTGCATTTATCATCACATTGTCATTTCTCCCCTTCTGGCTATCTTTATTCATAAACATTAAATATTATTGAATTTGTTTATTTGCTATGTGGTTGAATTACTTTTAACTAGAAACTAGGGATTTCTAATCCTCTTAAACCAAATTATTTTCCTGCTTAAATATGCACTAATGGTCTTATGATTTCTTGTTGATAATATAACGTGTTCTTTAACCGGCACTTTCACTAATATAGTAGGACTTATATGGCTTCAGACTCCTCCTGCTTTGCTTGTACTTTCCCCCAGGTATGAATTATAAGGGCCATCAACGTGTGACACAGAGTGGAAAATTAGACCAGCTCACATCACGTTATTTCAAATTCTTACTTTATTTTCCCTGCTGAGAAAAATTTCCACCTTACATATATTATAGAATTCACTAATGGCATATTTGCGTCAGGATTAGAGGTACTTATAGCATCAGATCTACTTCTAAGTCCATTTCCATTTCAAAACCATGTTTACTTACTGTTTATATCAGACATAGCCTACATCTTGGCTTTACCTAGGGAGAAGAGAGAAGATGAGGGTGGCTAAGACAGTTTTAACTCCGTTCACAAAAAGCTGACTTCTAGTAAATAAAGGTTTTTTAAAAAATATTTGAGCCAGCATGATTTGAATTTTTTAAAAATATGATATGTACACATTTTTCTATATATTTTCATGAATTTGGTTTTATAATATGATGATATATTGGCATCTTTATTACATACAGGTACACTTGAATTGGAATGTACAGAATTTAAAGTTAAGTTTCAAACAGAAACAATACTAATAAATTTAAAATATATATATTAAGAGATTAACTTAATTAGTATTATGTATGATTATTTATCATGAAGAAAATTAAGGCAAAACCAAAAATATATTAGCTTCTAAGTATAATAGCTATTGCCCAAATGCAAGTTAGAGATTTTTTTAAATGAATATGAGACATAAAATATGAAATATTCAAAAATTTAAATTTGATTAAAATTATACCCTATAATTTATAATTATTTCAAATACTATTACTATTAGCTTGATCATATGGCTGATCATATTACTTGTACTTTACTCTGAAAGACTTTTGGACCCTTCCTAATATCAAATTCATTCCAAGAGGAAAAATACTATGATGCTATTTAAAAATGATATCCTTAGTCTCTCCCTCTATGGTCCTTATTGTTCTTTTATTAGGTAATTTAAAGAAAAATTATCTCAGATATTTCAATACTCCTGCTATAATCCTATTACAGTTCTGTTTACCAACCCGATGAAGTCTAAATTCATTCCTCATCTGGCTTCACACTGGACTTTAGCTTAAATTTAAATATTTCCACTCACTCATTTAAATATTTCCTATTGGAGTCCATATCAACTTTATCAATTTACTTTTTACATGTACAAACTTATGTGTTTCTTTATTTCTGCTATGTTGTGCATGGTATTTCCTTAATTTGAAATGTTTTGTACACAATAACTTTAGCCTCAATAGTGTATGCCAATCTTTTTAGAATAAGCCATGCTTTTCCCCTCTATATAAAGTCTTCCTTTTAATCTTTTAATCGGTAATTAGTAATGCTAGCTCCTGTTGGTCTGCCTTCTCTTCTTCCACATCTGTCAAGCCCAGGACATAATCTCGTTTGCCATTCACTTCAGTATTATAAAGTTTGGTTCTTTATACTAAAATTATTGTTCTCATCTCACACAGATAATTTATTTCCCCAGAGTCAAAGAGTTGGCTTGGTGGCATCAAGTATAGAATGTTAACTCAACTACGGAACTATTTATAATCACTGCATCATTTTGATACTGAACATTAGGCTCTCTTTCTACCTGATCATAGCTATACAGTAGTTTTTGTCATTCCTTTCTGCTTTTGTTACATTCCTTACATTTTCTGTAACTATGTTGACCTCTCTCTACTTACAACACAGAACGAAATATTATTCTTTATAGAAATTCTATGTAGACTTCATAAAAGAAATAGCACTATATATAGCTACCTAATCTGTCATTTTACTTACATTGGATCATCAACCATAAGGCTGTGTCCTCCATAATGTAGGCTCTCAATGAATACTTGTTGAACAATGAATAATTATATAGCAAATATTTCCGTTTTTGACATGCTAAGTTAGAATTAACAAAACTATACTATTTGCATTGAATTTGCATGTTTTATTTTCTAGAGCATTCTGGGGTGTATCCAGTTGATTTAAATAGAATCTGATAATTAGCAAAGAAAGTCTAAAAAATGTAGAAAGAAATATATTCCTGCTTTGCCTTCAAGACGGTTTAACTACATCGGGAGAATATCTCTAATAATGTTAATTCTCTGTTTTTATGTCACAGATTCCTGAGAACAATTACTATATGGAGAATGAAGTAGCTCATGCTACTCAGGTTAAAAATGACTCCTATCAATGTCAAAAAAATTGAAAAACTAAGCTACGGTTTTTTTTGTTTGTTTGTTTGTTTGCTTGTTTTGAGACGGAGTTTCGCTCTTGTTACCCAGGCTGGAGTGCAATGGCGCGATCTCGGCTCACCGCAACCTCCCCCTCCTGGGTTCAGGCAATTCTCCTGCCTCAGCCTCCTGAGTAGCTGGGATTACAGGCACGCGCCACCATGCCCAGCTAATTTTTTTTATTTTTAGTAGAGATGGGGTTTCACCATGTTGACCAGGATGGTCTCGATTTCTTGACCTCATTATCCACCCGCCTCGGCCTCCCAAAGTGCTGGGATTACAGGCGTGAGCCACTGCGGCCGGCCAGCTACGTATTTTCTAGAATAACCCTTTGCAAGAGGATATTTGAGCCTAGTAGTGGTGCCTAGAATTGAATGACTCCATAACATTAATGAACATTGTTTCTAAACACAATTCCAAAAAAAGTATTGCAACACTTTTTCATCAACAGAGGCACCTTCAGGTTGACATTTCTGTGATATATCTGAAGTAAATCAATCTCTGTGTCATGGAATTTTCCAAAATATTTGTTAAAAATTACAATCATCTTACTTAATTCTTTAAGCTTGTTAATTGATACAACATTTAGCAGAATGGGAAAGACTGGTATAAAAAGATTGAGACGTACTATATTCTTTATTCAGTTCAAAAATAGTTTTTGTTGCATCTACTCTATATTAGTCCTGGAAAACTTCTCAGTTTATTAAAAATACATTGGTTTATTTATTTATTCTTTTTTAAATGAATTTTATTATGGATACATAAGAATACAATATAATGTTATGAGGCACATATACACATAGTAAAATGGTTACTATAGTGAAACATATTAACATGTCCATTATCTCCTATAATCACCCATTTTCCTCCCTATGGCAAAAGCATCTGTAATCTCATTTAGCAAAACCTCTGAATGCAATACACTATTGTTAACCATAGTCCTCATGTTGCAGATTCAATTTTTCAGCTTCTTCATCCTACATGCTTTGACCATTTCCTCCCCCCACCATTCCCTGCTCAACCCTGATAACCACTGTTTTATTCTCCCTATATATATTTGACTTTTTTTGGAGACCACATGTAAGCGGGATTATGCGATATTTTTCTTTCTGTGTATAGCTTACTTTACCGAGCATAATGTCTTCCAGGACCATCCATGTTGTGGCAAGTGACAATAGCCAAAATATGGAAATAATATATCACTGTATCCTTGAAAAAGCAATGGATCAAAGAAGAAATCACAATGGAAATTAGAGTGTGCATAGAGATGAATGGGGAAAAAGCACAACATATCAAAACATGGGACACAACGATTAAGATAGAAAAAATGATTCCTGTTTTAATTAGCTTGGAATTCTATAACCATACACTGGGTGATTTAAACAAGAACAATTTATTTCTCATAGTTCTGAAGTCTGTGAAATCTAAGATCAAGTCACTGGCATATCCAGTGTCTAGTGAGGACTCTTTCCATGGTTAATAAATGTTCATTTTCTTTTATCTTCACATGGCAGAGAGCAAAGAAAGAGGAAGAAAAGTCTCTCCTGTCTCTTTCTATAAGGGCACTAATTCCATCATGAGGGCCCTTGTGACCTAATAACCTCCCAAAGTCCCCACTTCCAAATATTATAACACTGGTAATTAGAGTTTCAACATATGACTTTTAGAAAAATACAAACATTTAGTCCATACCCTCCACCTATGGCCTCCCCAAATTCATGTTCTTCTCACATGCCAAATACATTCACTCTATCCCAACATTTCCCAAAGCCTTCAGTTATTTCAGCATCAACTTTAAAATAAATATTATCTAAATCAGAGAGAAGTGAGAGTTGTGGCAAAATTGCTCTCCAGCTGTGAACCTGTAGACAAAGTAAATAGACATTTCCATTCCAAAAGAGACAAACTGGAAGGGAAGGAGAGGTGAGAGTTCCCAAACAAATTCAAAACCTAGCAAGGCAAAGTCCATAACACCCTAAGGCTCAAGAATAATCCTCTGCCTTAATGGCTCTACTTTCCAGACACCCTGGGGTGGCACCTTCACTTCCACAGCTTGACAATGCTGTCCATGCTGGGGCTCCCCCAAAACAAACATTCAATCCACAGAAATCTGTGACTGTAAGTTCTTCATGGCTAATATATATTAGCAGGCATCTTGGCATCTTTGTATCCAGTTAGGTAAAGAGTAGCTCATTTTGAACTAGAGAATTGGAAAAACAAAGCCAAGTGAATCAGGGTGCGTGACTGCATGCATGCATGCCTGTGTGTAGAAAAAAGGCATACAGTTTAAGGAAGATAGTATTAAAATTTCAGGACACAGAAATAATAGAACAGTAACATTGAAACGTTGTGTGTAATACCTTCTATTTTAGTATCTTATGGTAAAGAAGTTTCTAACACACGCTTTTTTAAAACAAAATAAGAAAGCACCAGCTGAATGTGGTGGCTCACACCTGTAATCCCAGCACTTTGCGAGGCCAAGGCGGGAGCATCACCTGAGGTCAGGAGTTTGAGACCAGACTGACCAACCTGGAGAAACGCCGTTTCTACTGAAAATAAAAAAAAAAAAAAATAGCTGGGTGTGCTGTGCATGCCTGTACTCCCAGCTACTCAGGAGGCTGAGGCAGGAGAATCCCTTGAACCCGGGAGGCAGAGGTTGTGGTGAGCCGAGATGGCGTCATTGCACTCCAGCCTGGGCAACAAGAGCAAAACTCCATTTCAAAGAAAAAAAAAAAAGCAAGCATAAACTAGGGTAAAATATTTCTGATAACAAAACTAGTACTTTAGTGACTTTATGATATTCATTCTTTGACTTTCTTGGAAGTATCCTCTGTACTTGTCCACTCTTTAAAGAACCACAGAATTTTAACCTTACCAATGAATTGAAAATACATAGAAAATAAATTGGTATTTCTTTAGCATTTCCCCACAACTCCATACCCTTAGAAGAAACTAGTGAGGAAAATACAGTCTCAGTTAAAAGGAATTTGAATTTTACAGCAAATTTAAATCTCTTAGAAATTCCAATTTCTTGGAAATCTTTCTTCACATGAAGC